ATATTATTTTATTATTATATTTTAATAAATGTTTTGTTAATTATAATTATGAATAATTGTTAAATTTTTTAATTATTTTATTTGCTAAATATTAATGAAATTAAATCCTAAAATATATATATATAAATTCATTAAATTTTTAAACTTAAAATATGTTAAATTATAGTTAAATTATATGTCAAATAATTGTATTTTATTTATTGATTTATTGCTAAATGCTATTATATTATATTCAAACTATTTATAAATATTTATTGAATAATTATGTTAATTTTATGCTGAGTGACATCAAATGGCATAAATTCAGCTTGAATTTAATTATAGAAATATACATAATTCAGCAATATTTCAACATGCTGAATGATCAAATTTAGACTAGTGCAAATTAATATCAAAAATGTAAATATCTTCCAAAATATATTATATTTATTATTATTATATTTCAATTTTAATTATCAAAAAATTTTTTTAAAGGTTAAAAAAAACTTTTTCAAGTTTTTGCAATATTGTCTTATAGTATCAAAACAATAATCTTAAAACAACTTTGATTAATACATTGAGTAAAATATCAACACACATATAGTCACATAGTTATATAATTTAATTTAAATGTTCTTTTACTGTTTCCCATTTACAGGATACATACCACTTTAGAAAGATTTTTTTGAAAAAATGCAGTATCTCTTTAATTGTCCGAAGTGTTAGAATAGGACACTTCCGTCAGAGTCCATTTACCACATGCAATGTCTGTCCGCACGCGTGATCGTTCAGTCAGAGTGAATATGATGTTGTTTGACACGTACTTTAATTTTATTAATATTTTTTGTTACATTAATATTTTTTGAAGCGTTAGCATAAGACTACCATTCTAAGACACGTCTTGTATGTCCGCACGCGTGATTTATTTTAACATATGACGTTATTAGCTCCGGACTTACGATGATTTCCATTTCCTAATGTAAAAAATTGTTATAATAATGAGGAAGACATATAATACAGACGCGATCACTCGGTAGGAGTGTGAGATAGATAAATAGGATGACATCATATTCGAAAAAATAGAGAACCACTTATTTTAGTTTGTTAAAAACGCAATAAAGAGCCAAAATTAGGCTAAGAACCGAATTATTTTTCAGAGAAAGTCAAGGATTCTAGGTATACTTCAAAGAAGAGTTTGATAAGTGTGAGCCCAGCAAAGTTTAAGTAACGCCTCAAAATTAAATCCGTACTTAAAGCACCAATGTATTCTTAATAATAAACAAAAACAAAAATATGAAACTATTTTAATATACTGTATTCTGAATACTGTATATAGTATATTGCGCTAATTCTAAAATTTAGTAAGTACTCACGTGATTGTTCTGTATCACCTTTCACTCCGGGCTGTCAAAAAATTCAGGAATTCACTCTGTAATACTAGAAATATTTATTATTCAATTCAAAAAAAACAAAAAAAAATTACAATTTCATATTGGTAATTGCCGCATTTAACTTTTCTTCAACACTTTAAAAACTTCCCAGTCAGATACTTTAAATTCACTTGGAAGACCTATATTTCCGTAGCTATTGTAGCTATTTTGATTGCTAGACCATTTGTTGAAAAGACAGAGTAAATCATAACCCCCTCCAAACGTAGGACCATATGAACTATTATTATAGATCGCACTATCATTATCATGGATAATTCGTCCTAATGTAAAACCTTTATCACTATTATTACGATCTTGAATTAAAAATATAAAGCTAAGAGAAGAATTTTTATATTCATTACTAGAATCCCAATATAATGGATTATATCCGCCCACTATCGTTTCAGAACCTTCAATCTTGGCCACCACTATAGTAGCCCCTTTATTATCACATTTTTGGTGAAACTTGGTGGCTTTATTCCCATCCCGGCTAGCTCTGTAAAGGAGTCGTAAACTGTATGGAACTTGATCAAGTCTCTCATACTCATCGGTATTATCCATCCAGCTTGCAAATAAAATGATATGT